CTTGTTCGGCCCCGTGTAGGTGGATTTCCGACGCAACTTTACGTTGGAAAAAAAGCCAAAGTAGGGCGGATCTGGAGTCAGGGTTCGAGGTTGTCTCACATTGTCGCCGGCTCTCGCCGGTTCTCCAGCCTCGGGTTAAGTCGGGCCTGCCCCCCCAAAGGGGGATTTTCGACGACAAAAAAAATACCCCCCAAAGGTAGTCAAAACATGGTCCAAAAATAGTCTGGGGACTACGTTTTGAGTCTTGCTTGACCTTTTTGGGGCCTTTTGGGGGCATCTTCTTATTTTTCGTCGAACGTCCTCCTGTAGGGGGACACGCCCGCCATAAGCCTCGGGCTGCCCTCGAGCAGCCGCGCTGCGCCGGCAGGGTCCAGGAGGGAAAAAAACACACAGACACAATTAATCGTCGATTTTTGAGAAAATATGGGAAAATATGGGAAGTGGGGGGGAAGACAAAAACCCAGAAAATATGAAAAAAAATATGGGGTATATTTTTATTTGTGTGTATTTATTTGTGTGTCCCAATTCCCCTTCAAGGGTCCCCCGGGGGCGCCCAGGGTCGTCCGGAGAGAGGCCGCCCGGGGAGCCGGGCCGTGGCGCGAAGGCAGGGGGGCAGCCCGGCGGGTCGCCCAGACCGCCATGGCACTCAACAAGGGCGCCCTCGAGGGCGCGAAGTTGGTCGCGCTTCGCCCTCCTGCTCCTCCTCCTCCTCCTCCTCCTCCTCCTCCTCCCCCTCCTCCTCCTCCCTCCTCCTCCTCCTCCTCCTCCCTCCTCCTCCTCCTCCTCCTCCTCCTCCTCCTCCTCCTCCTCCTCCTCCCCTTCTCCCCTGGGAGGCGGCGCGAGGGCGCGAGGCTGTTCGCACGCCGCGCTCCGCGCAGCGCGAGGCGCGCAGCCAGGAGCTCTGGTTTCAAGGGGCGAAGCGTCTCGGCTTCCCTGTAGTCAGGAGGAAAGGAAACACACAGACACAATTAATCCTCGATTCCCCAGAAAATATGGGAAAATATGGGAAGTGGGGGGGAAGACACAAACCCAGAAAATATAGGAAAATATGGGTAATCTTTTTATTTGTGTGTATTTATTTGTGTGTCCCAGTTTCCCTTCACTGTAGGCCCGCCAGAGAATGGTCTAGGCCTCCCACATGGGGTCGGAGAAGATGCGGTCCCAGGATCGCGCCGCATCGCCGATGCACTGGCGATGCGGCTCGATGTGGAGCCCGCCTTGCTCCACGTCGACGTCGCCGATGCACCGCCGATGTCGACGCTGCATCGCCAGTGCATCGCCGATGCATCGCCGATACATCGCCGATGCATCGGCGATGCGGCGCGATCCACCGACCCCATCTACTCCGACCCCATCTGGGAGGCCTCTAAATGGTCTGAGAACCTTTTGTGGTCTGCGCCAGATGTTCTCAGAACACTTCTGGCTGAGATTACCTTGTCTGAGCACAATCGGGCTCGTGTTATCAGAACGCTGCTTCGTTCGTGGATCATCTGTTGGTTCAAAGAGCACGTCGTAGCAGAATTATAGGGGTGCCGGGACAGTCGGTCCCTGCTCAGTGCGCAGAAGAGCTTCATGCGGACGTCCTGAAGCAGGCGTCGACCTCCAGGGGCTCTCGCGGGGCTCCAGGGCCGCCAAGCGGCGGCTTGGGATGTGGAGCTGGCCCCGGGGAGGAGGTCCAGGCCTCCCGGGGCCCTGTGTTGAGAAGCTCGAGGCGTCGGATGTCTTGAGCAGGCCCGAGGGTCAGAGGTCGCCTTCCTCTGCAGGACCAAAAAAAGGACGTCAAGGTGGTCAAACGCCTCGCCGATTCAGCCGACGAAGATGTGCACCAGTCAACTGTTCGCTTATGTCCAAAGTCTTGGCTTGGCGCTGGGTGCGGTGCATCAATTTCAGCTTTCCCGAACATGTTGGTTGCGCCCCTTCACGTCCGTTTGGGGTATTCTGCAGACCTGACACCCCAGACGTACTCAACGGATGTCTGTGTGCACCCCTGTTTCTAAGTAGCCTTCCCCTCTTTCCCTGCACCCTTGTGCGTGCCGCCAAGTGAGGGGGATGGGGCGGGCGGGTGCGGAGCGTGCTGGCATGCGGAATGGCGTGCGTGGACTGTGGTAGATGGCGCAGGGGTGCCAGCCATCGAGTTCCATAGTGTTTGTCACATGGCGGATTGGCGGATGTCGAGTGGACCAGTTGTGATATGAGTTGATATTTCATCTCAGCGCATTCGTGGCTTCAGCCTGTTTTGGATGTTTCGTTCGGCAGTGTGGGTCATTGTGTTTTAGTTTGCACGGTTTCTTGACTCGCCGGTGGCCACGGTCACAGCGTGTTTGCGCAAGTATTTCGCGACATGTTTTGCTCTTCCTTGCATGTTAGCAAGGCCGCGGTCGGCTGTCTTGTGGTCCTGGGATATTCTTCTAGACGCTTCGCGTAATCCCACCAGCCCAACCAGCAATAATTCCCAGGCGAGTTGCCCTGATCAAGGATGTAGAGGAGCATGCAGCGGAATAGAGGGCTGGGGAAGCCGTCATACCCCAAGGAGGAATCGGAGGAGGTGGAGAGGGGAAAGGGAGGAGGGAGGAGAGAGAACAGGCGGATGAGTAAGAGAAGGAGGAGGAGGAGGCGGAGGGAGAGCAGAATGGCCAGAGGCCTCTTGGATGCCTCCTGGAGTCTCCTTGGATGTCTCTTGAGAGCCTCTTGGAGTCCTCTTGGGGCGTCCTGGGGGGCTCTTGGCTGTCCCGGGGGCCTCTTGGAGCGTCTTGGTCAACGAAGCAACGAAGGAGGTGCATGTCAAGCAACGAAGCAACGCGTGCAGGAACGCGAGTGAAGCAACGAAGGAGGTGCAGGTCAATACGCAGCTGAGGTCAGCCCAAGTGGCCGCTAACAACGGCCGACTTTGGGACTTCCCGGGGCCTCCTGGAGGCCCCTTGGAGCCATCTTGGGGCTCTCTTAAGACTTTGTCTTGGGGGTGCCTCTGGGGTGGGAGCCAGGCGGGGGGCGGAGGTGGCACAGCAATGCGGCCAGCAGAAATGGGGGAGAACGGGGCTCTCTTGTCGCCACAGCTGGACGCGGCTCGAACAACTTGTCAGCTTCGACTCCAGGAGAGGTCGAGGGACCGATTTGGGGTGAATTTCCTCTCGTCCCCACTCTTAGCACATTTTCTCGGGGCCCATCCAGTGCAGTCTTCTGGCCGCTTCCAAGTTTGGGGCCCTATTGACACCATTTTGACCCCTGTTGGAGCGCGTTTCTTTATGTTCGGCGATGACGGGCGTCATGGACGGGGGGGCGAGGGGGGGTATGACGTAACGCCCCCCCCCGCCGTGTGGCTCCGGCACCGCAGCCGCGCCCGCGCGCGCGACGCGACGAGCGACGAGCGACGACGACGACGACGCGAGCAGCATGTAGGTGGCGAGATGCCCCACTGCGCCTGTGTACACCACAACACAACGCTCGCGTGCACCACAGCGCGCGTGTATACCACAGCGCCTGCGTACACCGCAGCTACCATGTACACCGCATCGCCTGTGTACACCACAGCGCTTGCGTACACTACAGCGCCGGTGTACATGTGCACACCGCAGCTATATTGTTTCCTTTGACATCCACAAGCGCTCCACTTTGTCATAAGGATTCGTTCGAACACTCTATATACAACAGTGATGATGTGTTGCAAGCGGTTGCTGTGGTGCACACAGGCGCCGTGGTGCACACAGGCACTGGAACGCACGCAGGCATTGTGGTGTACACTGGTGCTGTGTTGCGCACGGCTGATGTGGTGTACGCAGGCGTTGTGGTGTGCACAAGAGCTGTTGTGCCCGCAGGCACGGTGGCACAAACTGACGCTGTGTTGCACGCGGCTGCCGTGGTGTACATAGGTGGTGAGGTGTACACAGGCGCTGTGGTGCACGCAGGCACTGTTGTGTATACGGGCGTTGTGGTGCAAATCGCCACGTACATGCTGGCGCTACCCGTCTTCCGTCATTCCTAGGCATTCCCAGACGCCCCCAGCGCGAACCGTGACGTCATCGACCCCTTTTCCACTCCTCTTTTAGATGATTGCCGTCATCGGCCCGGAATAAAGAACAAATTTCAGTCGCACCCGCGCGCACGACGACTATGAAGGACGAGCGACACGCCACGAGCGACGACGACGACGGCCACGACGACGACGACGGCTGCGGACCAGATTGTTATTCGGATCCCTACGCGGACACCTACGCCGATCCCAATGCGCACGGCGGCAGCGCCTAGATCGCATTAGGGGCCAGAGCGTTACGTCATAGAGGGGGAGCGGGGGCCATGACGCCCGTCATGCCCAAAGCAATAAAGAAACGGGCTCTTGACATCATGTCGAGACCTCTTCGGACATCCAGGAGGCCATCGATCAACAATAGCTGGGAGAGGTTTAGCGGCGCCTCCTCTTTGGATCGCGAAGAATCGTCGCTTGCGGCCTTCCGGTGGTTATTGGGATGTTCTTTGGGGGCTCCAGGCCCTTCCCAAGGGATCTCCATCTCAACTTGGGGCCATCCCGACGCCTCAGAGGCCAATCGGAAGCGGAACGGCGAGAAGGCCAACTTCATTGTAATTCACGTGCGTTGTCAGTGATTCCTCCCGCTTCGCAGGGTGCACGTCCAGAGCACGTGCAGTCCAGTCGTTGTGGGGCCTTATTGGAGCCTCTTCGGGGCCGGTTCGGGCGCTCTTGCGCCGTTTGGCCCATTTGGAGGCCGTTTGGGGGGCCTCTCGCGGTCGCCTGGGGGCTCTCTTGGGGTCCTGTTGGGTTGTTTTGGGGGCCTTTTGGGGGCGTTTTGGAGGCCCTTTTGGGCCGTCTTGGGGCCCTCTTGGGCCGTCTGGGTCTTTGGGGGCGTTTTGGGCCGTTTTGGGGCGATTTTGGAGGCTGCTTGGGCCGTCATGGGCTTCTGAGAGTCGAAATGCGAGAATGCTACAATCATGCAACAACCTAAAGAAAATCGATTCGCCTCTGGAGGCGCTCGTGGGGGTCCGCTTGGGGCCCTACCGGGCCTTCTTGGGTTTGGGGGGGCCTAATTGGTCTTGGGGTCGTTTTCCATCACTCGGTTTCTGTAGGTTTCGAAACCCCAAAGAGGTCCGTCACGTTTGGGTCGAAGGAAGTGACGCGACTCCGTGGGGGGAGGGGGGCACGTGATAATGTAACACATTTCGATTGTGACAGCTATGCAATTATTCGATTCATTGCCTCCGGTAACACGTCACTTCCGCACTTGGATCGTAGCAGTAACGTGCCATTCAGATACACGTCCGCGGGCCCCTTGGTGGTATATTGGGTTTTTTTGGGTGCTTCGTCGGGGTTTCCACGAGGCCTCGTGGGGGCTTTTCGGGGGCTTCCTGGAGATTTCGGGGGGGGCTTTCCGCAGCCTCCTGGGGCCTTTTTGAGGGTCTCTTTGGGTTTGTTGGGGGGCGTCTTGAGCCGTCTTGGGCGCTCTTGCGCCGTTTGGCCCCTTCGGAGGCCGTTTTGGGGGCCTCTCGCGGCCGTCTGGGGACTCTCTTGGGGTCCTCCTGGGCCGTGTCGGGGCCCCTTGGGCCGTCTTGGAAACCTTTTTGGGCAGTCTTGGGGCCCTCTGGGGCCGTCTTGGGGTCCTCTCGGGCGTTTCTTGAGCCGTCATGGGGCGATTTTGGAGGCTGCTTGGGTCGTCAGGAGTAGAAAAGAAAAAAACGAGAACGCGAACATCCTTCAACATTTTCCCTGACAGAAAATGATTCTGGCTTGCGGGGGCGCTCTTGGGGGTTCCTTTGGGCCGCCTTGGGCATTTGTTTGGCCTTTTTGAAACAATTTTGGGCGGTCTCGGGGCCGTCGTAGGCCGTCTAGAACCCATCGTGAGCCATTTTGAGGCCATCTTGGGCCCCCGGGAGGGCCACGGGGCCCAAATCATAGATTTTCCATCGGTTCTCAGTGTTTTTGAAGCCCGTAAAAGGGTCCACCATCTCTGGGTCGGTGGATGTGGCGTGGCCCCCCTGGGGGGGTTAGGGACCAGACATTATAGAGCCACGCGTTGCAACATGTAGGAATTACGCAATCATCGGGTACATTGGATACGTTGCACTAAGGCGTTCGCCGGAAAACGCTGCCGCTCAGCACGTCACCTCTGGACGTGGATTCCTCTCGCTTCGCGGGGTGCACGTCCGGAGCACGTACAGTCCAGTCGTTGTCGGGCCTCTTGGAAGTTCTTGGGGGCCTTTGGAGGCCACTTTGTGGCCTCTTGGGTCCTCGCAGCGGCGTCTGGGAGGCCTTTTGGGGGCCTCTGGGATGCCTCTTGGGGGCCTCTCGGAGCCCCGTGTGGGCGTCTTGGGGGCGCTTTTGCGCTGTCTGCTCCCTTCGGAGACAGTCTCGGGGTACTCTCGTCGGCCCCTTTGGGCTATCAGGGGGCCCTCTTGGGCTGTTTTGGGGCCCTCTTGAAGGCCTCTTGCGCCGTATGGGGGCCACTTTGGAGGATGTTTCGGCCGTCCTGGACCTTCGAGGGTCGGAATAGGCGGGAACGGTGAAATCTTGAAACAAAAAATCGGAACTCTGTAGTTCTCGGTTCCTGGAGGTGTTCTTGGGGGTCCTCGGGGGCCCTCTTGGAGCGTCTCGGCGTCTTTGTAGGCCCTCTTGGGGCCATCTTGGGCCGCCTTGGGCCGTCCTGGGGCCATCTTAAGCCGTCCTGACGCCCTCGTGGCTCCCCAGGAGGCCTAAGAAGCCGAAGTCATAGATCCCATTTTGGTTTAGGTAGGTTCTGGGGCCCCAAAGCGGGGTCGCCAGGTTGGGTCGATGGATGTGGCGTAGCCCCTGGGGGGAGTAGGGGGGGATAAATGTTAATGTAACACAAGACAAGTTGTAGCAAGTGTACAGCTATGGGATCCAATGGATACGTTGCATCATCGCTTCCGCAGAAAACACCGCCGCTCCGCGCGTCAATTCCGGACGTGGATTCTACAGGCTTACGCCGCATCCGCCGACCCCTTCTGATTTATTCTGAGATTTTCTATCGCGTCATCGTGGCCGTTTCGGAGGCCATTTTGGCGCGAGTGTTGGACTCCATGTGTGGGCGTTTAGGGATGTATTGGGATCATATTCCGGCATGGTTGCGATTCGGAGCCGTCTTAAACCGTTTTGGGAACGTTTTGGGATGCCTCAGGGGTTGTCCGGAACTCCAACGGGGGCGCGGGGAGGGTTGGACGTTACCAGTTGGATTCGCCCGCGGGCCGCGTCGGGCGAGGGGCGGGGGGTCAAACGCGCAGTTCAGGGTTCCAGGGGGGGAGTATGGGGTGGGAACATGTCCCATGCTTCTAGAGCCTCAAGGGATGGACGGACTCCCTTTGTAACTCTGAAAACCCGCGCTGCGGACAACGTCGCGACATCATAACTTCCAGGACAGCCAAGGGGGGGGGTCGGTAGCAGCGCATGGCAGAGTGCATTCGCATGCGCCAGCGCCTGGTGGTCGATGACAACGCGCCGATTTAGCGCCGATGAGCGTCGGAAGCCGTCGATCGAGCGCCGATTCGCATTGATTCGCCTCGATCAGCGTCGATCAGCTCCGCTTCGCAAGAGTTAGCTAGATCACAGCAGAGGCTCCCCTGCCCAGAGATCCTACGCATTGAAAAAAAACGCACGCCGGATGTTTTCGCATTGTCTGGTGTCCACAAGTCTTCTCTCGCCGGGATGCAGGGCCGTCAAACAAGATTCAGGAGGAATAGCGGGTCTCTGGGAGCACGTTGAGACCATTGGGGGCCCCGCATGGAAATTCCCTCGGCGCAAGACCCAAGCATCTACAGCTGCGGGTCGCGCAGAGCGGCGTTGGCTCGGGGTCCTTCTGGCAAAAGAGTGGACGGTTTTCGGGTCGTCGTGGGCCTCGTGTTCGGGGGCATCTTCAGCACGTGGCATTGCCCACGGTGCCCGCATTTCGAGCACGCGGGCCCGCGCAGCAGCGACGCGGCGGCAGCGGGCGGCCCCTCGGGTCGCGCGTTCGGAGTGCGCGGGAACATCGAAGCGCAGGAGTCGGTTGGGGCCCAGCGCTTCCATGCGCAGGTTTTTGTTCCGCGCCTGCAACGGCGCGCTCCGCGGCGCGAGATCGCCCGGCTTCCGAGCGCAACGCCGGCGCCCCTGGTAGAGGAGCACAAGAAGTATTCGAGGCGCGTGCGTGCCGGCAGGAATGCGCCGACGTGGATGGGCGGAGCGAGAAGAGAAAGGATGCGGAGAAAACGTGGCTCGAGCATGACGACGCGGCAAGTCTGCCCTGAGGGTCGGGTGGCGCAAATTTTGAGCTCAGCTCATAACATACCAAAAATGGCTCAAAACATGATACGTATGCAACAACAACATCTTCACATACCGTACATGCATGTTCTAAAAGCAAAAAACAAAAATTGTGAGGATGTCTCAAGCGAAGGCCGACGCGCGTAGCCAACATGTGAGGACGTCTCAAGCGAAACAACACCCTTAGATTAATTTTCCTGTGCGTTGTTCGCCATCGATCATTTCATGGTCACCTTGGTCGCTGTCATTCACGTTTGTCTTCAGGCTCAAGAGATTCTGGGCTTGGCTGGCGGGCTCGCAGAGGATACTTGCGTCCCCCTCATGCCCCCGAAGGGGTTCCATGACGTTGGCAGCCTGGCGGATGTGATCTTGCCGTGCGCAAGCGAGCCCGACTTCGTCAACTACCACGAAGACGAGGAGAAGCCGATCAACAGGACGAGGGCGATGAAGAACGGCGAGATCCTGAAGGCGATCTACGGCTTGGCCCCCACGCTGAACATTCCTGGGGCAGTCATCAAGATGGCCATCACGAAGATAGCCGAGTCCAAGATCGAGGACAGCGAGTGGACTATGAGCAAAGAGGAGAAGAAAGATATGATCAACACCGTGACGAAACGGTCTTGACGTTGTCCTGAGGCAGTGCTCTCGCGGAGCGTCGACGCTGCCGAGGCTCCAAGGCCGAGGCGATGGGCGAGGACGCTCAGGAGGAGGGCGATGGGCGCGGAGGCCGAGGGCTCGCAGGAGGCCGAGGCCGAGGGCGAGGAGACCGAGAAGGGCTGCGACATCGGGGCCGAGGTCAAGCAGACCATGGCCAAGAAGACCAAGACGGGCCTCAAGGAGGACAAGAACGCGGCCAACTCGGCCTGGATCCAGGCGCTCGAGAAGAAGGACCGAGGCGGTGAACATTTCATGGGGCCGCTGCGGCTCCTTCCCCTCCCCGGTGGCTCCCCCCCCATCCCCGATGACGGCCCCCCCCCATCCCCGATGACAGGTTTCGGGCCCAGCCGATCGACCGCCGAACGAACCGAATGAAATACGACGTGCCATCAGGACATATACGAGTACAAGTGGCACGAGGACGAGAACAAGCTCGCCAGGAGGAAGGTCGGCGCGAAGTCCAAGATCATAGAGTACAGCTGCCAGCCTTTTCGACCAGATGGCGCAGATGATCTGGATCCCGCCGTCGTGACGTTCCCTGACGGGTCGCAGCGCGAGGTGCCGAACGTGTTGCGCGGGTCCCTCGCCGACGACAGCACCGACAAACCGAAGAAGCGGGGACCCCTATGGGAGGATGGGAGCCTCAGAATCATGAGGAGGAAGGATCGCAACGAGAAGATCCTGCACAATCTGCTGGACACCAACCCAGCCCTGGACACGCCCAACGTGATCATGATCAACAGCGGGTTGTTCCCGACCCCTGAGGAGAGCCTCAACTTGATGATCGACTTGGCGAAGCTGTACAAGTCGGGGAAGACGCGCGAGGACCTGGATCGCGTCAAGGCCACGAAGATCAAGCAACTCACCGAGGCTGGCAAGAAGGAGTGCGCTGTGAGGAAGCGCCCTGCCGCAGCTGCGGCTACCGAGGCCTCAACCCCCATCACGGCGAACATGAAGAGGCCTGCAGCTGCGACGGCTGCCGAGAAGGAGCCGACGAAGGTCCCGAAGACGATCACCGAGCCTCAGTCGAGCAAGTTGGTGGGCCTGCAGTCGAAGCAGGACAACGAGGATGGAGGGCATGGTTAGGGCATGCAGGAGGATGAGGAGGATCGGAGGAAGCTATGGAGAGGGAGGGGCGATCGAGGTTCGTCCTTCTCCTCCCCCTCCTCCTCCTCCTCCTCCTCCTCCTCCTCGCACCTCATGCCTCCACCTTTGTCCTCATTGCCTTCCCTCATGTCCCCTGTGGGCGCCTCCTAGGTGGCCGTCTCCCCTCCCCCTCCTCTCCATCATCCCTATCCCTATCAATTTCGGACACCTTCGATTGGTTTCGGATCGCTTCAACGTAGCTTGATCGGAACCCGCCCGAATATCCTTCGAATTCGAAAGGGATTCGGGCGGGTTCCGATCGGCAGCCGATTGATACTCCTGCCCTCCACCAGCTTGGAAGGGAAGGGGGGGACGTCATGAAGCCGATGCCGCCGCCTGGCGCGTTCTTCTGGTGAGCTGAGGTGGGGGGTCGGGCGGGAAGCGGCAGCATGATCTGATAGCACGCCATCATGGGGAAGGACGGGGAAGGCATGGAGGGCAGGGGAAAGGGCTGGGAAGCAACGGGGAGAGAGGGGGTGAGGAGTGCGAGGGTAGTGGAGGATGGTGGGCCTGAAGGGGAGACTGGATGAGGATAAGAGGAGTCGCGACCCGAAAATCGGAGGGCAGGGACTACCTGGGCTGAGCGCCGTGATCGTGGCGCAGCTGCTGGACTGTCCTCTCGCTGCCCGTCAAGGGCCGCTGCGCCCGCCGTGCATTGCAGGGAGGGTCCAGCTAGGGAGTTTAGGGTGGGTCGACCACCGACCCTTCAGCGCGAAGCCAGGCGGTGGGCTGCTTGGCGCACAATGAAAACTTAAGGTCCCCTCTCGGCCAGGGCCCCCGAGGGGGCCTCGGGAAATGTTGCATTCTCGGGTGCTCCCCTGGGCTCCCCGGTGAGCCCCCCTAATTCCCTTAATTCCCTCCCTCCCTTCCCTGCTCCCTCCATCCCCTGCTCTCATCCTCTCCCTCGCATGCCGTCTCTCCCCCTCTCCATGTATCTATAGCCGTTGAGGCTGCAATCCGATTCGACTCCAGCGTCTAAGTTCCCCCCTGCATCTCCAACTCCGTGTGCAGATCAGCTTTCGGCCAGACCATCATGGGCGGACAGCCGCTGCCCACCTGCTGGAACGAGCACCCTCCCCTCATCGAGGTCAGCGATTCGTCTCCTGAAGGGTTCATGTGGCCTAAATATTTGGACCCCTGTGCCTACCCAAGACACTCTCATACTCTCCCCCGCCTCCTCCTCCCCTCCGTCCTCCTCCTCTTCCTCCTCCTCCTCCTTCTTGTGGTTTTCTGTGTTTGGAGTGTTGGCTGCCCCAGGCAGCGTGGCGCCGATGCAGCCAGGATGGCCCGTGCGGCCTCGGCGGAGCCAGATGCAGTGCCCGCGCGCCGCGTGTGCTCAAGCGGGCGCTCATGGGTGCTCCGAGGCGGCATGCCGACCAGCCAGATGCCGAACGGCAGCTCCGAGCCAGTCGAGCGCTCGCCGCACATCGAGGGCCGCGCCTCGGACGACACGCTGCGCATGCGACTCGAGTTGGACGACCGTGCTGCGATGGAGGCTCAGGGTCGCGGGGGCTACTTGGCCGCCCCTCCGCAGGGTCGCGAGGAGACTTCAACCCTCGTGGAACAGGATGGGCCGTATGGGCCGCCAGAGCAGCCCGAGGGGATGCGCCTGATGCCGACGCGCACGGAGGTCGGCTTCGCGGAGCCGCAGCCGAGGCCGCGGCCGACGGCGGCTGGCGGGCCTCGCGCGCCGCAGATGGCTGCAGCCGTCAGGCAGGCGCCCGTGCGGGCCGCGGCCCAGGCGGGCGATGCCAGCGAGACCGAGACCGCCCACTCGCGGAGCCCCCGTCGCTCGCTCCCGCATGGCCCGTCTCGCGGCATGCAGCGTGGCGTGGGCCCCACGTCGCGCAGCGGCGAGCCCCCGGTGGCAGTAGCCGCGGCGCCAGCATCGCACTCCGAGGACGCCTTCTCGGCGATGTCGCAGCACGTGTTTCAAGATACACGCGACATGCCTCGCGAGTGCCAGAGCCAGCTGCCCGACCGTCAGCCGTCGATCGCCGAGAGCTACCACGATAGTGCGGAGGAGCAGCAGCTTCAAAATATCGAGAGCCAGCTGTTCGAGCAGCAGTCGCAGACGCCACCGTCTCAGCACCAGGCGAACGCGTTCTTGGTGCTCGCACCTGCGCAAGTGCCGACGCGTGCAGCTGGGGCCCCACACCAGCCGTCTGAAGCTGGGATGGTCACGCCACCGCAGCCGCTTGCAGCTGCGGCGCCAACGGAGCCGTCTGCAGCTGGGATGGTCACGCCACCGCAGCCGCCTGCGTCTGGGATGGTCACGCCACAGCAGCCGCCTGCAGCTGGGATGGTGACGCCACAGGAGCCGCCTGCAGCTGGGATGGTCACGCCACAGCAGCCGCCTGCGTCTGGGATGGTCACGCCACAGCAGCCGCCTGCGTCTGGGATGGTCACGCCACAGGAGCCGCCTGCAGCTGGGATGGTCACGCCACAGGAGCCACCTGCAGCTGGGATGGTCACGCCACAGGAGCCGCCAGCAGCTGGGATGGTCACGCCACAGCAGCCGCCTGAGCAGCTGGTCGCATTCAGCTTCGACGACATCCCCAACGTGCCCGTGGATCAGATGGAGCTGACGCTACAGTACGTGATGGGCGTGGAGCTGCCCAAGACGCCCCAGCACTTGAGGCAGCCAGCGGGCGACTTCACGCCTACCAAGGTCAACGAGCCTGGCACTGACGCGGTGCTGGAGGCTGGCCACTGCTCACCCAACCTTCGCGCGTGTTCATAGCTATCCGAAGCGTTGGTCGAGTTGGCGTTGGGGGATGGGTGGCGGAGGCGGTGGGGGACGAGCAAGAGCATGCAGTTACTCTTACTCACCCCCTGGCGCCTCCTCCTCCATAGACGCCAGCGCTTCGGATAGTTTTGACACGCGCATCGGGTTGAGTGGCCAGCTGCCGAATCAGGAGTGCCACAAGAATGGCTTCAAGGTAAACACTCGCGATGCGATGGGCCAGAGGTGGACCACCTACCTCGACAATAATCCCGATGAGAAAGCCAAGTACATGGCCGTCAGCAGTCTGCAGATCAAGGATGGGGGCCCCCGTGCAATCGTCGTACCCCCTCTCCCCCCCCTCCCCCTCCTCCGCTCTGCCGTCTAATGCCTCGCCCGTCGACCTCCACCTCCTCACCCTCCTCCTCATCCTCTTCCTCCTCGTCCCTCTCTCTGTCAGTGTCCCCCCTCCTCCCCCTCCCCCTCCCCCTCGATTGCATAAGCAGTTTCCCAGGCTAAAATCAGGGGGGAATGGGCACAGGGAGTATGCGAGAAGTACAGCAGATCGAGGATCCACGACAGCAGTCACGAGCAGACGAACCACGAGTGGGGCGTGTTCCTCAACTTCGACTCTCTGGTGCAGAAGGAGGGCGGCCACCACTCCGGGGCCGCCGTCCGCGGTAGCTACAAGTATGCCGTCGCCTGTCTGTTCATGGGGTAGTATCGCCTCAACGAGATGACCGAGCGCATCGAGTATCTCTACGTGCGCCGTGGATATACTGAAAAGTTCACTTCGTGCTGGAGGACTCGGTGTGCAACAAAACCTCCCAGTGCCCACGACCTCCTCCTCCTCCTCTTCCTGCCTTTCATTCTCGAGGATCCTCCTTCGGCCTCCTCCTCTTCATCCTCCTCCAGTGCCTTGGATCCTCCTCCCCCTCGTACTTCTTTATCCTCCTCCTCATCCTCCTCCTCCTCTTCCTCCTCCTCCTCCTCCTCCTCCTCCTCCTCCTCCTCCTCTTTTGTTTGACGCAGGACACGCAGGACCGAGCTCGCGATAGTGGGCCAGACGGGCAGGGCCGCGGGTTCCCCCACGGATGCTGCGCTGCAGCGTTCGACGGGGCACGGCGCCCAGCAGCAGCAGCAGCAGCAGCAGCAGCAGCTCGCCCTGCAGCCCGCCCCCAGTGGCGCCGTCGATGGGCCGCTCCAGCTGCCCGCCGCTAGCATGCGTGGGACGCCGCGCACTTCAAGGCCGCCCTCTGGCACCCCCTCGACAAGGACGAGCCCTACGCAGAACGGCAAGGGCGGCAAGGGCAAGAGCCAGAAGGGCAACAAGGGCAAGGGCACCGCCAAGAGCAAGCGAGGAGCGACAGCAACCCCGAAACCTGCGGCTAAGAAAGCCAAGACTCCTCAAGCCATCAAGAGGGAGGCCATCGCCGAGGCCGTCGACTCCACGAACTGGTACAACTCTGTGATTCGCCGCGCCGAGACCGTCCTCGGCCACTTGGCATCCAACCACGCCGACTGGAGCCTCTTCAAGGATTCCGTGGACCACAAGGCGATCCAGACCCAGCTCGAGGCGTGCAAGCAGGCCCCCCTCCAGAATGAGTTCGTGAGCATGTATCTTTTTGATCCCGACGATCTGGGGGGCCAGTACGAGGACGAGAGCTCCTACATGCGCGATCTCGGCCAGGTGAGTTCAATTTTGAACCCCGCTGCGGACGCCCTTGACGCCGCTGTGAAAGTCATCACGTCAATGAAGGCGGCGAGGGAGCAGCACGCTTCGCGTTAGGTCTCAGAGTCCCCTGCAGCAGGCTACTAGCTGGCAAATGTATATTCTCTCGTGTGTGTTAGGATCCTCTCTCGTGCGTGTTAAGATGGGTTCAGACCCATCGCGCGATTCACGTTGCAAAGGAGGTCGCAGTCGGTATAATTTTGCTTTTCACGCGCGGCAGAGGCTGCGACGACCCCTCGAGGCCCCCGCCAAGTACTTCCAGGGACAGGCGACGATCCCAAACAAGCACGTACCTTGATACATAAACGATCTTCCAGCACGTTCGGCCGCAAAAAAACAGTTCACGATCGAGCAATGTTCGAGCGATGATTGAGCGATGATCGAGCGATGAACCACCTATCAAACCATATATATATATATACAAAACCAACAGCCACAGAGCGATGATCCAGCGATGATCCAGCGATGATCCAGGGATGACCG